TAAAGACTTTTGTCCCATGTATATCTATTTAAATCATAAGCCACCTTTCTTACTAACAGTTTTTTTTATAATAGTTGAGATAACATGAGCTCATTTGATTAATAAACCCAGGTAAATTTAAAGTTGCATGTCTGTCAGTTCTGAAAACACACCTGTTTTTTTTTTAATCAAACCAACCAATAGACTAAGTTTCATTTGCTAATAACTATCCCAACTTCAAATATTCAACTTAGTTTTACAAAAATTTTAAGTTTTAGGGGAATTTAAATAGTGCAAAAGAAATAATTTTAACTAGAAAAATGAATATCTCTAAAGGTAGGAATTTGCCAAAGATGGTGCAAAAGATATTCTTTGAGGATCTACAGTCACCCCTAAGATAACCAGAAGAAAACTTGCACAATTCCGTTGACCCGTTAGTGGACCCTAACTGTAAATAGTGCAGTTACTTCTCTCTGACCCTACTCTGGAGCCCCCAAACTGACAGTTACCACACCAAGTTCTCATGTCATGGAAGAAGAAAAGAGGGTCTCTCTCTACTGAATATTGTGGCAGAGACGTGGAAATGCTGGCTCTGGTAGATGAGCTCCAAGAACTGCTTCTGTGAGCTTTCCCAGGGTCCCATAGGTAGGGTCAAAGTGGGGTTAAAGTAGAGAGTGTGACTGGTGGTATCTACCAGAATTTGGTGAGTTTTTCTCTTAATTTTAATTTCCCCTGGGCTGTTTAAGGAATCTAGTGGTAGCAATTTACTAGAAAATCCCTGCGTGCTGGGAAGGGCAATATGAGAAAGGCTGTAAGGTTACAAACCTGATGGAATTTGGTTTATAATCATGTAATCTCTTCCAGACAGACAATTCAGAGAATTAGTAAAAGTGAGAACTCAGAAGAAAGGACAGGGAAGAATAGAAGTCAGACATCTATCATATGGTGCTTTGTTTAAAGTACTTTGTCTTTAACTTCAGTAAATCAATGGGAACTCTTACTTCTTTTTCCTTTAAATTTTAGTCCACAGGACATTATATGCTAGGGGATATCATGGCCCAGGTCTTTTCCTTGGTGTGTTTCTCTGGGTGGAGCAGGATTGTGCTGAATCCAAGCATCTTTCTCTTTGGCTTCCTTTTTTTTCCTGATAATTTACTTTCACATTTCAGAGTTCTCACGGATCTCGGAATGCTTCATATGCTCAAGATGAACATTAATTCTCTTGGCAAGAATCTTGCCCTCTCCTTGTGTATTTACAACAAAGCCAGCAGCATGCTGGGTGACGTTATTGATTCTCAGTTTTGCCATGGTAACTTGATGTGGGGCATTCCTTCTTGAACAACACCCATCCTCTTGATGTCTACAATACCACCTTTCTTGTAGATTGATATGGATATGACCAAAGGAGCAACTTCATGTTTCCTGAAAGGCCTGGAGAACGTACAGTGGGTGCCTTGCCTCCTTCCCTGTCTGGGTCATTTTGGCACTTTACTGGAAGTGTTACAGGGAACCCCAATGTGAGTTGGGTTGCCTATCTGTGGGTCCTCACCCGCACATAAGATTCAGTTGTACCACACACACACACAAAAAGTCCGATCATGGGTTTATTTACAAGGAGAAATGTAAAAGAAACAACTCAAGGAAAAAGAGAGAAATACAAGTTAACTAGAATATCCTACCAGTTCTGCTGACTTGAACTCCAATAGCAACTGACCAAGAACCAAACGACCAGCCACGAACCACCAAGTCAAAAGACGTCCAGAGCCCACAGGTCCGGTTTTATCCCAACCTGGCTGCTCAGCTCTGCCCTCACGTCACAGCATGCTTCTCCTTGGTATTGATGGGATTTGTGGTTCCAGTATCTGGAGTGGGGGCGGAGTCCGTGAAACCTGTATCTGTTACAGGAGATGGTGGCTCAGGTCAAAAAGAGTGTAACTCTTCCTTTCAAGTGTGCTTATTAGATAAACAATCTTGCCTAACTGGCACGTGCTCATAGCCACCATGTAGTCTAGTGTATTTTCAGGCAGATCTTGCCATTTTTCATGCTAGTTGCAGCTTTCCTGTAGCTTCTTTATATAAAGGATCTCATTTTTAAAATGCAGATTTACTTATTTATACAAAACTGGGGTACAGGCTAGAAGTGTGGAGGGTGAGAGGGTTCACCAGAGACAGAGTAGGGAGCAGAACAGGCAGATGTACTGAAATACACTGCTGAAGTGAGCAGTGGGTGGGCCAGGAGAGGTCTGCTGTGCCATGTGGGTCACCTCCCTGGGATCAAACTCATGCTGCAGTGGCTGCAGTAACTTTATAGTGCTGTGCTTAAACACATTGTGCCACCAGTGAGGGTAGGGATCTCATTTCTTTTAGCTAGACTTTTGCATTTTGTTGAACCCAAACTAATTCCTAAAGACTACCTCTTTTGGCTTCCAAAATTTTCTTTTAAGAGTTGCTTTTAGGGCCCTCCCTGGTGGAGCAGTGGGTTAAAGCACAGCACTAAAAAGCTAAAGCCACTTCAGCACGAGTTTGATCCCTGCCCCAGAGGTGATCCACATGGCCTGGCAGACCTCTCCTGACCTGCCCACTGCTCCCCTCAACAGTGTACTTCATCACTCGGCCTGTTCTGCTCCCCACTCTGTCTCTGACGAACCCTCTAACTGCCACTGCACCTCTGGCCTGTACCCCAGTTCTGTATGCACAATAAATAAATCTTTTCTTTTTTTTTTAAAGTTGCCTTTATGTGCCATACTCCAACAGCAGCCAAAAATTGGGAACTGTGGAACCTGGCAGTAGCCACATGGAGAATGGGAACAGGATTGAGTAGCAGACTGCAGTAAGTCTGCAGATAAACTAAGATTTATTTATTTAAGACTTACTTATTAGGCATACAAACTGTATTTATGCACACAGGCCAGAAGTGCAGGGAGGGTGAGATTCACCAAGACAGAGTGGGGAGCAGAACAGGCAGATTGATCGTACACTGCTGACGGGAGCAGCGGGCAAGAAAGGAGGGTTCTGCTGTGCCATGTGGGTCAGCTCCCAGCCAGGAGTGGAACTCATGTTGCAGTGGCTCCTTTAACCTGTTGCGCCACCAGGGAGGGCCCTATAGACTGATTCTGACCAAACCAAGAACTGCAGCTGGCACCAACAATCCCTAACCTGGTAGCTGTCACCCACAGTTTACACTCACATCTGGAACAAACCAAGTGTTGGGTGTACCTGTTACTTCTGACTAAACTGAATCCAGGCTGATCCTGAAAGTCCAGCTATCCTGGACTTAGTCCAGTTTGCCTTGGACTTAGTCTGACCCTGATTAGCTAATGCTGGACCTCAGTGCAATCCACTTTGGACTTAGTCCAACCTGACTGGCTAACCCCTGGACCTCAGTCCAGTTTGTGAACTAAGCCAGCAGACCCTAGTAAAAGGGACTGCAGACTAGAAAGAAATTGGAAGGATTCCAAAAATGGAGAACCACTCTCACCTGCAGCTCCCATACAGAATCCAGGAAACAGACCTCCAGTGTGGAATACAGACTAGACCAAGGGTTAAGGACCTATTCACTATGCCTTGGACAGATAAACCGATTAGATGGGGGCGCTCCAAAACAGGGAGAGAACTGAAGGTTCGCAGGCACCATGCCAGGATGCTGCTGGAAGTTCCCTCCAGATCCCATCTGCTGCCACCAAGCTGTTAAAAAACAAAATTCATATAGATCTAATTAGCTTTAATTAAATGCTTTGTGAAATGGGCAGCATCTCATCTATATACTGCAAGGGGTTACACAAAATGGAAAGTATTAATAGACAATGAGAGAGTGGAAGAAGATCATTAGCAAAAGAAAATATCATTGCAGGTAAAAGCCATCTTCCCTCAGGAGCAGACAGGCAGGGAGGTTTTATAATCTGGAAACCCCATATTGATCGGATTAGGATTACATTTTTGAGAGAAGTAGAAACTGCAATGAGATTAGGGATTAACTGAGTAGGGGGCAACATGAAGGACTCCATAGTGGGTTTTGTGTTTTTTCTTCTTCAATTTTTAAGACCTAACAGTAGGGCCTGAAATTACATCCCAGACTCCAATCCAGATAAACAGAAATGACTAGCTCCCAACACGCAGGATTATGGTGAGAATCAGAGAACTGGTGTTTTGTCCATAGGAAGAATCCACAGGGACTGGGGAGGCCTTTGCTTTCCTCCCCCAAAGCACCTTTCCCCCTTCTGCCTCCCGGGAAAGGTTTGGTAAGAGTGGTGGTTATCTGGTGCCCAGTTTGGAATCAGAGAGCAAAGCATTTCACTCCTGATAGGGTGAAAAGAGGAAAAAAAAAAAAAATTAGAGGACACTTAATCCCCTACAGATGTCTTGAAATAAAGGAACTGTGTCTAAATGCTAAAAGCTGCACAAAACATAAAACATGGAAACGTACTTAAAGAGTTTTACAAAATAATTAAATATGCATTTTTTCCACCGTCAGTTTATAGGCCAGCATTCCTGTGGACTGCAAATGGAAACCCCACAATGCGCTCCAAGTTGGTGTGGGGCGGTGTGGTGATGGCGGGGTGGGGTCCCTGGATTTCTTTTCGTCTCCGTAGAGATAATCTAGAGGGAGATAGCAGATTCTTTACCCTGCGCTCTTAAAACGGGAAGACAAAAAGAGTCTCAGATGTCAACTGGGCTCCTCAGGCGATCCGCCGGGTGACCCGAGGCCAGATCATATGGCCCGCGCCGTCCGAGCCCGGCGAGGCCCGGCGCGCTCCCGCGCAGGCGCCAG